GCAGCCCTTCCCCGCACTGCCGTCCCCGAGCCTCCCCGGCGGCGACCACCGCAGGCCACCCGCTGGTAGTGCTGCCCGGCCGCACGGGTAGGGACCAGGGGACCACAGGAAAGGCTGCATTGCAGACGGTTAGGAATAAAGCATCACAGCTCATTTGGAAATCACCATGGATGTCGGCAATTAGAAAAAAAGCATCATCTACAGGAAGATGATTTAAAATGCATAATGACCAGGCTGCAGATGAGATTTCTAGGCTAAGCAGATCACTAGCCTGATACAAGACAGTAACTCTAATGTTTCTGTCCTGGACAGTGACAGTGCCATAACCCCATGTCATCACTAACGGTGAAGAAGGTCCCACTCCTATGGTGCACAGCTTTCCCAGATAAGGATCATGGGTTTGAACCCTAAAAAGCAGATCTAGATTTCATGACAGATTTGCACCTCCATACAATGCCAGATTACAACTTTGCCTACAAACAACTTCAGCCAGGCAAGTCCAGATCTGCATCCCAACATCAGGATTTCAAAACACACAAGTCAGTTTGTATCTGTTTCATGCATGCAAAGGCAGCCTCTCCCCGGTCATGGGAGAGGAATCCAGGTGCCACTGCACCATGGCTCCCCCAAGGCCCCACACTCAGTCCTCACAGTCCTCAGCCAAAGCTGCAGCCGCTTCTGCCGCCTATGACGAGCTGTGCCTCGTCCATCAGGTAACCCACTAGAGAAAAGGGGGAAATGCTGGACAGTAGCTGTGGAGCACCTCCTGTCACAGAGCAAGCCTGCATGGACCACACGCGAATAATGTCTATTCCTACCTGAATGCAAACATGACTCAAGAGCCAACTGCACGAGTTGCAGATTCACTGTGCAGGGCTTGACGGTCTGCTATTTGTAAACAAAAGGACTTTTGGCTCCTTGGTATTTCCCTGTTGTCAAAAGACACAAATCAGTTGGTATTGCTTTCATCTGCAATGACATTTTGTAGTTTATTCAGAGCCTGAGGCTTGAACATGAACAGGCCTCCGCCAATGGTTTGGACTAGACGGCCTGCACCTGACATTGCTTCCAGGCTATTTTCTGGCTGTTGTTCGGGTGTGGCCAAAATCACAAAAGAAGTTATTTTTATGACTAAGATATTAGAAATCTTATATGGCCGGAGACTTCTGCTCGAGTTGTACTTAGTGTTCTTATTAGTTTATAAAATTTTATTCAAACCACTAGAATTTTAAGGACAAAACTTGTTCAAACTTGTTCAAAATATTACACGGACATTTTAAATATGATCACTGGATTTGTGCAAGCTATATAGGAGACATTAGTTTGAGATTCATGCCGTTTAGAACTATCCTGACAGCAGCTCAAGACTCCTGTAAAGGCAAGATTAAACCCTGTCCCTGTTCAGCCTCAAACACAGACCTAGCGTAGACTAGGAGTAGTCAGCACCTACCCACACCACAGGGCTCGGTACTCCTCTGAGGTATATGAGGGAACATCTGGGTGTGGTGCACAGGCTGCTTGCCTTCCTCAAACAAATCAGTACTCTTCATGGTCTAACTCCTGCAATGCCTCAGCAAATACTGAACAAATCCAATCAATATTGGGAATCTCCTGCAAGATACTTACCTGCAAATTCAGCTGAGAAGGAGGAATTGATGAAAGAGCACAGGATAAAACAACATGAGACATGGTACGTTTCTGTAATAACATTCAGTTTAAACTTAACACAGACTGTGAAAAGTCCTTTTGAAATAAAGCATCTATCTGCAAACTAAGGTACCTTGCAAAGCATCTATCTGCAAACTAAGGTACCCTGGAAGAGCTGTGATCCAGTAAGATAAGACAAACATCATCAGACAATTTACATTCACAAATATGGGCCTGGAATTGTCCCATGTTCAGCTCCTGCTTCACTGTGGCCTCAAATGAGCCCTACTCGTCTTACCTCTATCTTTTTATTTTCAAGATGATGATACTACTTGCTAACTGTAAATCACATATAGTGCTATGACTGACAACTGCTATATAAAGAATGAAGAACTGTTAACAGTCAGTGGAGCTATGCCAGTGCACAGCCCCTGCAAATTTGTTCTATTCTTACTGTGGGTGTAAGATCATTTAGCCAACGAATGTCAGTGTGTGTCAGTAACCAGACAAACCTGTAGCCAGTGAGACATGAACACTACGCAGGGTGTGCATCACGTTCAGCAGTCCATGATTAGTATTTCTTTCTACTAGAGCTTATGCTTTTATACTCCACAATAATAAGCCCCAGTTGCTCAGGTAACTTCATTTTTGTACTTCAGTATTCTGGAGACTGTGGCCACCCAGGCAGCTTAAAAAGGACAAACAAAAAATTGGGAGAAAATTACTTTTGCTTTATGCTGAACCTAACTGTGTATTCCCTTTGCAAACAGGAGGAGGGGCTGTTGTTTGGGGTTTAGAGCTCCCGGGACAGTTTGCCATAGTTGAGGAAAACGCTTACTGCAGATGTATTATGTTACGTGCTGCTGTTTTTAATTGCTTTTCAAAATGTGAAGACAGCTGTGATATTTGGAATAGGTGGGTGAGTTGCACTAATAAACTTTGTTCTGCAGCAGATCGGTTCACCATGCAGGCTCCTCCATGAAACTTTGCCAGTACCCTGGGCAGTAGGGAAGGAAAGAAAGGATCCTAGCCATGCCCTACCCAGCCAAAGAAGCGAACTTGAACAACTCTTTATCTTGGAGCTGTATTACCAGAGGTCTACATTCTTTCTCATAAGATCCTATAGTAAGAGCAGCTAGCTATAACTACAGAGCTATAGAGCTACTGTGTTCAACTGTGCTTTTTGAGTAAAAGCCACACTGAACATCAGATTTAGTCGAAAATTATTTGGCCAGTTGAGAACTTAGGAACTAGTGGTTCACTACTTGCAATAGAAATGGGTAGCTAGCAACGTTCCTTGGTGGAGGGCTCAGTGGGGCTCCTCAGATCTTTGGAAACACTCCAGTTCCAAGCTAATATCCATCTGGAGGCTGTTCCCAAAAGATTATAGACCCTGGGCCCAGCTGGTAATGTATGAAGCAAATTTATTGCTTCCTTTTGGAAGAAATAAATGTTCTGGGATTTTGACTCACCTAGAAGTGAGTTGGAGGTTTGGTGGTGATGCTGATTACAGCTGGGTGTTCTTGAGTGATGGGAATTGGTGCAATGAACTTCACCCAGTCCTTTGGAAGCCAAGTGTGTAGGTTTCTTCCTGGGACTTTAGCACAGAGTCTCAGCCCCAGATGTGGAGTGCGTTCCTCACCAGCAAGTGAAGAGCCAAATGAAAACGGCCTGTCTCAGGGTGAGGAAGCTTTGCCTCAGCAAAGCTGTACTCTGCAGACCCCACAGCCATTTTTTTTTTTTAAGCTATGAATAAGCCTAGAACTAAAATCAGACAAGACATCAGCAAGGCATCTAGTGGAAAACAAGCAGATTGAAATAAAATAGCTGGAGGAAAGCCATTGCTCTCACCCTATCACTCCCGGGTAACTTGCTTTATAATAAAACTGGATGCAGAGAAGATTCAACTGTGGCTCTGAGTTTCTATTCCTCCATAAGAGCTGGGTGTGACTTCTTTGTAGGCAAGTCACTTAGCTCAAACTAGAGTGCCTGAAGTTGTGTGTCTATTTAAAAGTACAAGTGGCCACTCACACAGACCGATTTTCAGAAATGCTTGAGTTCCCAATAATTTCAAATCAAGCTGTGGATGTTCAGTATCTCTGGGGGGAAAAAAAAATCAGTCTTCTTTCATGTGCCAAATATATTTATTCTTAGAAGACTGACCTCAAATGTGTTGGCTCACCTCTCATTTGACCTCTATGAGACCTGTTTTCCTCCTCTGGATTATGTAAATAATAATGATACCTTTCTTTGTAAATTTGCCTGAACAATGCTATGTAAATACTAGATATGATTAATTACTGTCATCCTTACACATCAGGAATAGGCAAATCACTGATTTCACTGCTTCTAAAGGTTTTGGCATTTGCATTGTCTTAATTTGACAAAGGGGCTGTACCAAAAAAACCAAACACTCACAGCTACGTAGCTTGCTGAAATTACAGCCAAAGCCATAGTCCTACTGAGATGAACATTATCCATGAATAAACAAGCACCTTGGATTTCTTTGCATAATAACAACATGCAAGTCTGAGCAAACAGATACAAGTCCATGCCAGCCCACTTCATAGGCCCAATCCTAAATGCTTGCGAAACAAGGGACTGTGAGCACATTGGTTCGTTCGTATGCCAGGGCCCTGAGTGCACCTCCCCTGCTCTGGGACTCAGCTGCCTCTGCTCAAGGTGGGGGCTCTTACAGCGCAGCTGTAACCTGTGCAGTTCTTCAGGCTGTTGTAAGAAAGAGCTGTGAGAAGCTGGGTCCTGCCCTGTCTTTGCTCAGGAGCCGCGTTTAAGCAGAGGGTCTTGGCACTGGCCCCACGCGAGCTACGCTGAAGGTATGCCTGCACCTGATCTTGTACCTCTCTGCCCTGCTGACTTCTTCGTTTGACCACCTCACCACCGCAGGCTCGCCTGGCCTGCTGGACCCTTGGCTGAGGCTGGTTACTGCCCTGGGCCTGCCCTGCTCTCTGCGCTAGGGGTCAGCACCCCGACAGCGAGGGCACAGCCCTGCCCGCCATGCTGTGGCTCCTGCTTGCCTTCCCTGGGGAGCAGTCACTGTGCTGTTCCCCGACACTGCTGGAACAGGCCTGTTCCACTCTCATGACGGGATCAGAGACACAAGAAAAAGGTTTCCTAATTATTTTTGATCCCAGACAAACAAACATATTTGACTGCTTTGGGTGAGCTTAGGCCCCTTCATACATATGCCCATGCCAGCCTAGCTTAAAGTATTGCTGTGAATACAGGTGAAAACTTGTGTTTAGATGCGAGGTTTCCCCAGAAACTCCACTCTTAAAAGACAGCTGCCTAGCTGATCCTCAAAGATGAACAAACTACGTCTAAGAAATATGCACAAAAATTTCCTGTAACCTAAAATAGAGAATGCTAAATGCTTTTGGCACATGTACACACCACCAGCTTCTCACTGCACATAGCTCTAGCTGGAGCACTGCTAAAGTCTATAGTGCTAGGATGGTTACAAGTTGTGATTCACCAAGACATTCCCAGTCAGTCTGAAACAAACTTATCTGCTACCTATGCATATACTCTCCTGTGTTTATGCTAGGAAAAGTCTTATGTGTTGCACAAGTACTAACTGAACTTGCTAGATACGTTTTTTTGAGAGAAAAACTGTTGCTGAAGTGTGTGGCTTTGCAGGAAAGGTGCAAATAGAATTCTTCAGAAAAACCACTGCAAGTTGTGATCTGAATACACCTGAATAAGCAGGACTTAAGTGGTGGCTTTGGGTGGGTAAGTAGAAAGGGAACCAGAAAGAGTAGATCATGACACCCACCCATTTACTGGTTTTGCTAGGAGTGCTGAGAGCAAAAGGAAACTCGTTTTTTTGTAGACAAAATCTAGTCTTAAGGCAGCTAGCAGAAATTGTAACTGGAGCCCAGGACAAATAGAGACTTCTATATTATCCCTATTAAATTTACCTTAGATTTCTGGTATGTGCTTTGAAGCCAGTCCTGAGGGCTCCTGCATGTATGCTTTCTGCTAAGTCAAGTGAGAACCTTACCCTGTGCATATCTCATTGACAGGAATCAAAGAGATAAAAGTTGAGGTCTCCTTAGAATTGGCCAGAGCCTGATGAATTTTAGGACCTAATGCAAAGCTGCTCCAGCCTATCTTAAATAACTTCTGTTGATGAATACATCTCCTACTAACTCTGTAACACCATCTCTCTCTAGCACTCTTTTCACTGCTGTCTAAAAGCACTTCCTTAAATATTCATCCCCATCAGCCATTCTGCTTCCAATTGTGTTCCAACTTGCTTGCTCTTATCTCTCTTTCTCTGCCCTGCAATCCCAATGATTACCATTGTAAATCATCTTTAGACATAAAAAAGACTGTATCACGATGCAATATAATATATACTGTCAGTAATGAAGAAAATGAATTAAGATGTTTTTAGCACTAGGATAGAGACAAATTTCAATGTCTATAGATATACTGTACTTGTATTATCCATTACATTATTACAGCTCAGCTGTAATAAACGTGCCACCTTGGCATTTGGGCCATATTCTCAATTTCATATATTGGCCTATCTATACTAAGGCTGATGGAACAATGCTAACTAACACCAGCTATCATTCATTTTGGGTCATCCAATCCCAGTTAAATACAACTAGGAGAGAAAGCAAAGTGGTGACTCACTGCTGTGGACAATGCAGGATATACTATCTAAAGAAGAAAAGAAAGACAGGCAGAAAGATCCTCTTCATGGGCTCAGTAACACAATACTCATTGTAATTATTATGCACAGAGCAAAGATTCAATACAAATCTAGTACCAGCTAATAATTTAGACACAGACACTTAGAAATGTAACTTTATTTAGCCTGTACTTTCTGGGGGGAGGGTATTAGGCCCTCTCTTTGTCGTGTATTTGTACAGTAATTAGCCCAACAGGGCTTTGATCTATAACTCACGCTCCTGGCCTCCTCAGCTATTCAGCTAGTTTAGGCATTCAAGAGGTATCAAAGAATTGTCCAATGCTATTGGCAGATAACAACACTGGTTGCCACAGGAGAGGCTAAGGACTGAAGGGACAGAGAAAGAAACTTTGAAAGAAAGGCAGAGGCACAATGGTAAGATAGTTTTGTGGTCGTCATTTCTGCCCACACGCAATGTAATCGAAATAAAGAAGAAAGCTTTTGAATAGTTGCTCTGTTTTTAAAAAACAGACTCAAATTACAATATTAAAGGAAGATGCTGGAATTTAAGATAACCTTCAATTTTCTAAGAAGTTTAACTTAAAAAGCAGCTCATCTTCCTTTTGGGTAAATACAGTAGCTGAGAATCAAAACTTTACAATATTAATGGTGTAACCCAAAGCAAAAAAATGTTATTTCAGGTGCATTCCTGTAATATTCTGAAATCATCTCAGCTATTGCATGAAGAACGATTTCTGAGATTTTCCATGTTATTAGTTCTACTCTGATTTAGTCATTTTTTTTTAGTAACACTTTTATAACACATTTTGGTATTTCTGAGGCAAAGCATTTTATTTTCAATGTCTTCTTTAACTAGTCATAGTTCAATGATGTGATAAACTAAAAACAGATTACGCTGCATGGGGTATTTCCATTTTGTCTTCAGCCTGTGCCTAATAGCACTATTTTTCTTACTACAAAATATTTTGGTTTCCTTGAAGAAGTCCAGTGACAGAGAGGAAAACAAAGATTAAATTATCCAAACACAGATGCTCAAAAGCAAACATATCAGAATTTCAATATAAGGATCATTGGAAAAGTAATGCCTTAATTTCCTGGAGAACAAATATTACAAACATCAGATTAAGGGCCATGCTGAGCCTCAGAGTTTGTACCTCACTGTTGAAGGAAGCCACTTCACAAATCTAGTTTCTAAAATGACCAGCTTTCATAGAGAAATAGTGATAGGCTTTTTGTGTCATTTCTTCATTTGGGAAAGCTGCTCCAGACCCAATAGCTGTGATAGTCCGAGAACTCCTTCCAATTTCCAGCCCAAACATATTCACAACCAGTTGATACCCCTTTGATTTTATCGTTTCTTATTGTGGAGGGAACTGCCATGTATATTTATAGACAGCAATTGCTTCATCCCTCAAAATTATATTACTAGATTCACATGAGCCAATCTTTTGCTTCAGCTTTCATAAGGCAAGGTTATCTGTTCCTTTATAATCTCTGTATCTCTGATCCTTGTAGAGTCTCTTCCACGGATTCTGCCAAGTGACATTTCCTGCATAAATAGCTTCTACCATGTACATGTCAAGGGAGCACATACATCTTTCTGTTGTAATCTTTGTGACCTCAACGGTTCTTCACATCTCTTCAAAGAGCAGTTCACCACCCACTCTTTTGGTGCCTATTGAGAAGAAAAAAACCTACAAAACCCTACAAAATCTGTACAAACTCACCTACACATATCCTTCTTTTCTACTGTTTATTTCCTAGGATCCTCTGGTCTTCTCTCTGTATTTTTAGCTTTTTGCTTGAGTAAACACTCCTCCCCCATATAGTGTTAGCAGGCTCACCAACTGTGTTCAAAGGAAAGAAGCCTCCCTCCAGCCTTCAGATGTACAAGACCTTCATCTTCCTAGTTCACAGATGAAAGACTGCAAACAACACAGCATGTTAACACAGTTCTTTTGGGGAAGGGGTCTTCAGCTCAACAGACTGGCACTTGTTAAGCCTGACAAAAAAGAGGCAGTTATTGCTAACATTTCTGATTATTTACAGAATTTGCAGTTACACATATTAAAAGATGGTATTATACGATGACGATTCAGGGAAGCAATTTAAATAAATTTGATGGATGCTGAAAATAATTACTGTCTTTACAAAACATTGCAAGACTCTTAAGGATAGACAAACCTTAAACTGGTGGACTGGACATTTCAAATAATTTGACAGTAATGAAGTGGCTTACAACCAAAAGGTGAGTCAGTGGCAGAGCTGATAGTAAAACTTAGCTTCATGACTCATGAATTAAGGTTCTCTCCAATGCATAGAAGTGGTTTCTACAGCAAAGCAGTTTATGTGGGTTTTCAGTGTTAGAGAAAAGATGGGAAACTGTGCTGACTACCTAACTTTCATCTGCCAGCCAGGTCAAAAGGCAGGATGCATTTGAAATACATGGTTGTCTTTAGTCAACTGACTCTGTAACGGACAAGAACACTCGTTATCTGGGCAACTTGCGTAGGTGCCTCCCTTACAACTAGGTATCTGTGAATTTCCCAGTTTGATTGAAAGATGATTTTTTATTAGCTCCTTATTCTTGTCTTAGCCTGAAGAAAAGGAAAACCCCACTGACACATGAGAGAGCAGGAAAACAAGCAGAACAGAAAGCACAGTGTTGCTTAATGCATTGGGAAAGGAATGAGGATACTCTATCTTGTAGCTTTTTGTTTACAAGGTCCTTCCTACAAAACTATTTAGAGAGTGCACACCTGCTCTGCTTTTTCACTTACCAGGCAACAAGTCACGAAAGAGTAGTTTCAAGCAGGAAGCTGAGGAGGGCAATGTTCAGTGTCCACTATGTGTATATGAGTAGGATCTGTGCCCCCCTATTTTCCCTAATTATAAAGTTACATTCTCACTTATAGGTATAAGCTAACTTCATATAAACCAGATTTAAAGTGACTGAATCTATTTACACTTGAAGTGGCAGCAGCTGCACTAAACAGGTTTAACATTTAGCTAAACTAACCTAATCTCTCCGCGCTAATCTCCGCCAATACAGGAATCCTCCAATACAGTAAAGCACCAGAAATGTAAAATGAATGAACATGGTGAACGTATTCTTTGTATACGCACCCCCCCAACTGGCTTCCAATGAGAGCAGCACTTGCTGCCTTAGGAAAAGAAAAAAAGAACTGAAAAATACCCTTTCTCTGTTTCATTACACATTAAAGAATTTCAGTGACTCACTACATTTAAGAGAATGACCCACAGATGAATAGACAAATAGGTAGGCATTCTTTCTCATAGGCTGATATGCTATGAAAACATACTTATCACAATACAGCGGCTTCTGAATGCAATTTATGTTTCAGCAGCCCATAACCTTTCGTCAGCTCTACAGGAACATCCTAACTGTCACCGCAAACTAATACAAGGCCTGAGACCAGGTGTAAGGATAAATTAATTACGTAAATAAAATTATAAGTGGCTGATCAGTTGAGCACAAACATTGCTGTTTGTCTAGAGTCCCTTACCCAACCCACTGCCAGTAATGAAACTGGAATGCAGTATCACATGGCATGTGAATCAGCAGGGGCGCACACATTCACCTCTATATTGACAGCCATGTAGAAAGGGGCTACCCTCCAACCAGAGTTTCTCACATTGCACAGAAGAAAAGATACCATCCCTTGCTTTTCTCATTAGAGATATTCCTCCCCTGTAAAATTCAGGCACAAATCTTAATTTCACACACACTAACGCACAATGAATGTTGGTGTGGTTGAGACTTATTCCCTAAAAATTCCATTCACAATTCTCAGCAATAGATCTGGATCACAGTCTCTGCACCACCAACTTTCTTCCCAGCAGAGTAGGAGATGGGAGCAGACCTGCTCTTCTGTTGGTTTCTATCCACTGAACAAATTGGGAGCACATAATTTGGCTTCCAGCTCCAAATATAGCTGGCATGTTACCAGGTGTTCAGCAAAATACGATATACTGTTGCCTCTACGTTCATGAAGTCGCAGACAGAAGAACGTAGTTGTAATATGTCTGTGTCTTCCCATCTGCAACAAGCCAGTTCCTTGAAGGCTAAAACACCACTATTCAGGAAAAGAGGAGACAAGCCATCCTACAAAGGAAGCCTTTAATCAGCAACAATTACAGTGAAGGAAAGTAAGATCATCCTGTTGAAAAGCAATGTGAAAGGAAACCTGGAACCATTTTTTCCTAAAACCACACATTCACTATGCTACTCATTTCCAGGGCAAGCATTTAGTAGCAGCTGCTGAGAGGACGCGAGCAGTCATATTATAAGGTGAGAGTAACTCCTGCTGTTTTCTATGGAAATCATGCAAAGACTTGATAGGAACAAGATTGAAGGTAAAGGTGTTTGATGAGTTGGGAGAGTGTTTCCAAAAATGCGCTTGCATTTTGATGCTTTTTTCCCAGCTGTACTCATGCCACAGACAGCAGAAACCCATGCAAGCAGAGTGTAGCCAGTTTTACCCATTATTTCTGTGACTGGTGCCAGAAAATGGAGCAGGAAGTGCTCTGAGAACTGGCTGGAGGAAAGGCTGTTTTCCTGTTTAATAAAAAAGTTGCCTGACCCAGATACTTTATTCAAGAGCCTCATGGCTCCAGAGGTTAAAACGCCCCAGAGAGGGAAGGACACTGAATCACTTGACAATCTGGCAAATTCACCTCCTGAATATTGTTGGCTGCCAAGAAAATTCATTCTGACTCACAAACAGATGTATATATTGTTCCATGAAAGGATGTGACTGTGCATAGGTCTCGCATTAATGACCCTTAAAAGCAATTTAAACATTTCAGCAATTCTAGTAGATTTCTATCTGTCCTGAAGAAGAGCTACTGTTTGCAGAGGAGACCTCCTTAGGCTGTCTGAAGCCCCACTTGACCAAAAAGACCTAGTGGGTGGCCTGGGAAAGAGGCAGCAAATCACGGAAACGGAGGTGACCTAGTAGTGTGTCAGCAAGGAGTGGCAGGTCCAAAAAAGGCAGTAGAGTGCCAAAATAGGACAGAGGTAGGTAATCAAAAGATAGTTTGCTTAAACAGTTCTGCTCTGCAGAGGTCTGGTTTTTTAACGCCATGCAGCAGGAACCCTGAGGAAACACCGCCTGCCTTTCCTGGGACCGATGCTCTGTGATTGACAATGCTGTTGACATGACTGCTGTGATTCACACTCCATTACCAATTTCAGTGCATGAGCAGCACCATTTCTGTGCTGTGGAACTGGAACTGGCAGAATCACTGTTCACTGCCAACTGTCCTGGGATTTCAGAAATTAACAGAGAAGAAAACTTGTGGACCAAATTCTGTCCTGATTTAAGTTGGGTTACTTCACCAGAAAATTTTATCCCTTAATTGCTAAATTTCCTTCTTCATTATTTCAGAGAATGGCTGACTCTAAAGATTTCCACATGACTATTAAAAACATTTTCAAAGGGAAAAAACACAAGCCTTAGCCATGAGGATGCTCAGATTCCCGTTTGTTAAAAAAAACCTTTGGCTTTGCATATCTAAAATTCTTCCATCCTGGATAGCAGTGTGCTCTTCACATAGTCATTAGTCAAACTACACAGCGTGCCTACATGGTAATTAAGCTTGATTTATGTACACGTCCACTTAGTGGGTAGGTACAGTGAGAAACAGAAAACTTTTGACTCACCTAAAGTAACAAAGCAACACGGTGGCAAACAGTTAGCGTCTAGAAGATAACACTTACCTGCTTTGCTTGATGTTTCTATTTTAGATTAACTAGCAGAACTCTTGAACTGTCTCCAAAAACAATTCTCTTCATTCCATACTTGTCAATGTGTGGCACCTTTCCCTTCTCTACTGGCCTGGCTGGAAATCACAGGTTTATTTGCCATTAAAAAGATCTAACTCCACTATATTTCAAAACAGTCTTCTGCACATCACAAGTTTCTGTCTCCACTAGTTTTACACTTTGGATAAAAAGTTAAAATTACATCCATCGGATAGTCCCTTGCACCTGATCACTTACCACCCTCCTCGGAGTCCACACCAGTTGTTAGCATCTGTCTATAGAAGTCTCAAGCATGTAAGTGTATTTGAAAGGGAGATGAGAGAAATGACCGAGATGCACCATGCTCCTAGGAAGCAGGACTGGAGCCCTGACTCAGGGCTAATATGTACCAGGGTCAAACAGATCTGCATTTCCATAAAAGCTGGAAACTGAGAAAGATTAGAAGCCATTCATTCTTACTGGCAGGGGAATAGGGCAGGATTGCCCACATCAGAAGTGCAGAAACATTATTGTTCTTTCTAAGTGAAGGAGCTTAGCCTAACTTTTGCTGAGAATTCACAGCTTGTTTTAATGTCCCCGCAAACTACTTGGCAGCAGCACAAAGGTTTCTTCACACAGCTGTGGGACATTACTGAGCACTTTGTAGTCTTAGCAATGCAGTAATTTCCCAACCACTCTTTTAATTAAGGGCTTTACTGAAGTCCACTGACATGTTTGTGTATATGAAGTGCTGTACCCTGTTTCTTGTATCAGACTTACACACACAAAGAAAAATGGTTAATTTTTAGTGAAACTTTTATCTGCAATGGTGGATTTTTTAAGAGTGCTTCATACCTTGTGGAGTTGTAGTCCAACCCAAACCTGTGCTATTTGCACCCCCCCCCAAAAAAAAAAAACATAACCACTCTCTAAATTTGCTTTTAGTCACTGTTAAAGGCCTGGCACTCAGTTCATAAGTTGACCTGCCTCTCTTGAGATCAGAAAAGCTAAACATAGAGCCTTTTGTTCTCATGGCCCAATGAAGAGAGAATGAAATTCCTGAGCAGATGATTCTATCTTATTTGATCATCATTTATAATTTCTTCCTTTGTTTCCTGTCATGGATTTCCCTGGGAAAGAAACAAAGAAGCTTTCCCTGCCTGGTGTTTGATTTCCCTGCCCTTCTGCTGACAAGCCAAATGGTTGGTGCTGACTGGTGATAATATTACACTCTGTGCAAGAGGCAAAGGGGAAATGACCTGTCAGCACTCAAATAATAAAACTTGCAACTGCCACATTTCACTGCTGATGCCTTATTTGTATTTCTGTCTTCATAGAGCCTCTTTCATGCTGGAAAATCATAAAGAAGTTTTAAAATGCATTCAGGAATTAAAGGCTCATTCTACCAATTCCTTCTCATGCAGGTGCTTCATGAAAATCTGCACTAAAACCCGGGGGATGACTCATACAAATGTCTGCAGACGCAGGCACAATTCTTCTATTCTAAGTAGTAAGTACATTTACTGAATGCACCACATGCATTAAGTCTGCAGGATGGGATGCCTTATCTGTAAAACAGACATCAAGAGAACTGATAAAAATTTTAAACAATTTGAGTGACAAACATTTGCCACCTTCAGATGTCTAATTTCTTGTTATAAGTACCATCTGGTATTTCCTGTCCCTGCAACATAAATATGAGAATCACTTCAGAAGTTATCAGTCCTCTGCAGTTTTCCCGTTCATCATTATCTGCTCCCTTCATACACAGATATTTTAGAAGATTTAAGCAATTCTAGTTCAAGTTTTGATATATGTGGACAGAAATATGAAATACTACCTAATAGGATTTTGTATGGCTTTTCCCAAAATCTCCCTTTATAGAAAAAAAAAGAAAGAAACAAACATTTTGTAATCAGACACTGGCATGTTAAATTATACATAGAATGCAGTATAATAGAGAAGCAACGTTCTGGGCAAGTATGGGCATCACAGTCTGCTGGTATAGTAGAAACTATTGACTGACTTTTCTGCAGTGACTAAAACCCCTTGAGGCTTAAAGTAATTTAACCTGCTTTTCTTAAGGAAGTATATTCAATGTAGGTTTTGGCAACATTTTATTTTTCACACATGATGAATTAACCAGCAAAACATCCTGCCTTTTCTCACACAGATGAAATAAACTGTATGATTTTCCATGAGAGTTTTCCCCCTCAGTAGGGTATAAAAAAATAAAAAAGAAACAGAGCAAAACCCAATCTAATCTCTGTTGAAAACATGACACTTAGTAGAATACTCGTTCTTATGGGAACTGAAATGAGATACCAACTTCTAATACGCTTTTTGAACAGGATTTTGTATATCCATTCTATCTGTGATTTAGGGTATTTTTCATGACCATAAATGCCCCTACTGACTAGGATCACTTAAAAACTTAAGTCACTCACTAGCTCATCTCTTTCTGGCTAATAAAGGAGGTTGGATAAGAAAGGCACAGGGCTGAGATTCAGAATATTCCCAGAAAACATTTCTGATTCTCCCACAGACGCTCTGCAAGACATCAGGCAAGTCACTGACAACCTGCTGCAAAAATCTAACTCACCTTTCTGTCTATAAAATGAAAATAATGTCTTTTTAGAACAGAAAGTCTTCAGGGCAGGGAGGGTGACTTGGTAAGCATTTGTAAATTTCCTGGCAGCTTGGAAGCCTGATTTCAGCACTAGCCTCCAGGTAATGTCTCAAATGTAATGCAAGAGATAATAATAAACCCTGCTACAGCTTCCATGTGAAGGATGTGGGTGTTATCAGTGATTATTTACTGACACTCTTGCCTGTTTGATGGCTACTGCATTGCTTGCAAAGTGCTAAGAAGATTTAAGTCTGACAACAGTAGTTTCAGATACCCGCATGAATGAGAGTAAAAGTTTTCAGATAACCGGTGGGAAAATGACAAAACAGAGATCAAAGGCCTCTGATGAAGCCCAACATATGTCCAGTGAGACAGTGCCATAGGATATGCATATGTTAGCAGAACTTTAGAAGATCTGTCCTGAGGAACAGAACAGGAGAGGCAAGGGCTGAAATTTTGCTTCCCCAAAAGCAGAGATGCTTGGGTAACTGGGGCCTGCTTAAGTCCAACAGAAGATGCTAAGCACTAACTAGAGTAATTTGCATGCAGGCCTTTTATTGTTTTGGCCTTTTTCTGTGACTCCTGTCCTTCAGATGCATAAGTAATATTTTGAAGTTGTTCTGGGTCCTTATATCATCAGAAAATCACAATTCCCTAAACAAGTTCTGTGGAAGTGGCCAGGCACAGTGAAGCTGGAAGAACAACGATGGCTGCAACTATAGGTTGAAGACCCATTTGAAACATGATATGAAGTTTATGGTTGCACCCAGAAAGAAGAGACAGCCTGGACACTGTCACTCAAATAACTTGATCTGGAGAAGCCTGAAAGAAAGGCCCAAAAGTACGGCTAGGCCCGAATAACATCCGTCCTAGAATATATTTCTTTAGTACAGAAGGATTTCATTTTATCTTCCACATCTGTAATATTGCATCTTCTAACTCCAGAAGGGGTGGGTAGAGTGATTCTGGTGTAGGGCAGTATATGTAAAACCTATTGGTGTTCCAGTTTAAAATAAATGTGATATATTATTTGAAGTTCCCTGTATATAAATGAAGTCTTCAGGTTGTCTTGTTCACCTTCAAAACAGATTAAGTATATCCTCTTAAGCACAAGGAATCACTGTTAAGGAGATAATGATCTGAGCAAGAATGTGCTTGTAGCAGCAAAACCAGTTTCTATAGGCAGATGGATGTTCTGTGGGTGCTGCCTTTAAATATTGTAACTTTCATGCAGCTGCTAACATTGGAGCCTCCCAACCCTCTGGTAGCTCACTCAAAACAAATGTCATGTGTTACTTAGTCGATTTTTCTTTCTAGTTCAAGCTATTTCCCTTAGTTCAAGTCCGGGCTGAAAGATAATAGGAAATAAGTCTTTCAGAGCTACAAGGCTATAATAGGAAATAAGTCTTTCAGAGCTAGGTGTTATCTTCACCTAGTGAAGCTGCATTTTGTGTGATTTGTTCCTACAGCTCAGTGGTCGGGCTCGGGAAATATGAGGCACAAACAAATCTTTTTTCATTGGTGGTGGCAGTGCTACCTGCAAGCCATCATGGTGATATCTTTTATGGGATCATTGTCAGAGCTAGCCTTCCTATATGGGGCTTCACTGATGAGCTGGTATCATATGTACACACATGCTTGCATTGCTGCACATTGCTGTTTCCTCCCTTAAGATTTGGAAGTGCTAACGAGAAGGTGAAGTGCTGTGCTAGTGCTTATGTAGTGCCAAGAGTATGTAAATTCCTAAGAGTTCACATTCTAAATAGGGAAAAAAAATGTAAGGAAAGTAGTGGGGGAAAGGAAGCACCAGTAGCCAAACTTGATAGATGAAAACGAAGCTGCAGAGAGATTCAAGGCCAGAGTTTCAAGAAGTACACATGCACAGCAAAATCTTCAGAAGTAGCTAGAATAGGTAAATTCCTGAAACACTAGTAAAATTCCTGAACCACTAACCAGCGTTACCTGGGGGTAGGGTCAAGTTAAAAAACACATTTCCTCTACATCCATAAGGGGAGGCCAGATCTGAAGCAAGTTAAAATCAGGACAGATCTCTTATGCCTATGACAAATGGGAGTTTATAACAGTAACTAACCTTGGAGGTAGCTAGGCAATGCTGACACTGGCTTATCCCATATAGTGAATACTCTAGCTGGCTAATTGTCTCCAGCTGTGCTAAGGCACATCTCTTGCAGGGTACCATCAGTCTTCCAGGAGGAAGACTGCCCTAGCATTCCTCCTCCTCAAGCTTCAGCAAGCTATAGTTTTACTATCAGAAAGCATTTGGGCCCATGTGTATTACAGCATCGCTACTATGGGCTAGCTAATCAAATCAATACAACACAGTTGAAAAAGAGACCAGTAGAATTCTATTTTATGGCTACTTTGATGTGTGTTGAGTTTAAGTAACAATCCTCCCAGGTTCAAGACAAAAAGTCCCAAGTACTCTGGAATCCCTTGAAACTCTCAGGCTTTGACTATCTGCATTCATTGTTCTATTATTTCTTGTATCTTCTTATCATTCCTTCTTCCTCCTCAGTTTTCTACAGATAGTTCCAGCCACAGCCCTACAACTCTGGGTAAGCCTGATTGCCTTGACATCTTGCAAGAAGTCAGCGGTAAAGTCTGTCTGCCTCTTCTCAGCAGGCTCTGCAGTCTCTACACCACATCGTCCATTAGTTCTGTTTCCCAGGGTGGCACTGACTGACATGCCTTATATTTAGTTATAGCAAATCTCATGATGTTTCAGAATGTCCTCAGGTAAACTTACTAACTCCCCTGTAAACCCTATGAGTCAAGCCAGACAGCTTCTACTGTTTCACACTCTAAAAAGGTTAGTCCTAAATAGTCTTTTCTGGTCAGAAAAGCCCATGTATTAGATGAGACAGCCACACCTACCTTAACATGTTTTCTTGTTAGAGTTTTTCTAAACCTAGCACCCAATAAACTTCCAATAATCAGAAGAAAGGAATGAATGCTCCCACACAAAACTGCAATACTGAACACTACAAAGAGGAAGATATAACTTCTTTAGTTATATCTCAGGACATAGGGCAAACAGCCTAGAAGTCAGAAGTAACTTCACATTGCTAGGATCCATAGACAGACAGAATTGGAAGAAGTACTACAATCCCAACAGGTTGCCAAGCTATACTAGAAGAGAAGGTGGAATTTCCGGTCAAGTTTCCATTATGTTACCATGGTTTTCTCTCCCCACATCTCTGTAACCTCACTTGTCTTCACAGGATTACAGGTCAAGATGGGGAGTAACAATATTTTTGAGACGTGCTGGCTGGCTTCCATGAAATTAGAGTTTTGATGTTGCCAGGGTCAAAGATCAGCTCACCCAAACAGACTGAGAAATGTGGGCATTATGAGAGATCTGCTTGGGAGCAACTCCACCTGGAGAACAGCTAACATTCAGTAGGAAACAAAAACATGAAGAGCAGACGTAAAACAGTAAGACATCACATAGAAGAACAGGATCACACCTTGCCTGTCTATGTGATCCTTTCACACAACTGAGAAGGAGGTGGGGGTTCATGAAAGGCACGGCAGACAGCGTGCAGTAGACTGGAGAAATGTAGTGAAGTGTCTGTGGAGCAAGATCGGGGTAAGATAATTTTCCTAGTTGATGGATCGACCTCCCTTGCTGCTCTTCTGTCTCTGTGTACTCCACAGCAAGCTGGTTGGTGTGTTTGTTTCCAGACTGAACTCTGCAAAGGCCAGGATGAGCAGCTTTCTGTAAACTGCTGTCTTGTTTCACATATGTGCCACCTAGCTCGTTTTTACCACGGCCAACCTTCTATCTTTCCCAAGAGCTCTCAGTCCCTCCAGTCCCCATGCTTTCCTCTGCTCGAGTTGTAGGGATGTCTCCAGATTCAAAAGACTCTTCAGCCCCTACATGGAGAACTTTGAGGAGTCCTTCCACACAGCTCATACTGACTACCTGTTAAGTCCTCCAACCTGAACTTGGGGCACGTCTGCATTAATACGTGCTCACTGTTTTATTACTTGCTTTCCTGTTTTGCTCATAACTTTCAAAACTCTGTCTAGAAGCTTTGGCTCCTCCCTTCCATGTCTACCTTAATGGGGACATTTGATTGGTGATGCCCAAATAGGCAAAAATCCCCTCCTAAGACCCAGGCATGTTTTCACAGTCATTCTAGCTGATTGACAGGCGTGTTGGGAAATATCTCAATTACAGCATGCACAGATACTCTGTAAGAGCAAACTAGTCCACATACTTTCTCTAATGTGTTAATAGGCCTACCATAACTGTAAAAGGGAAAAAACTCAACAGGAAAGAAAGACACGATCAGTTCCTTCCTCAAACAGTCTCACTGACTTCAGCTCTGCTACTCTGAGCCACCAACGGTAATGAGGAAGGGAATTCAGGGGAAGTAAGCTGGAGCAATGAGCTGTACAATACACTCACAGCTTACACGTTGCAGAACGAGACATAGGCCCAGGCAAGTCACTCAGGCCTGTAAACAGCAATGGGGTGTTGCCAAAGTCCAAAAGCAGCAGCAGGCAGGTCTGTAGCAGTCTCAGAATCACCTGCATGGTGTGGAGTGAGAAGGTCCCAGATAATTCCCTAGCTCATGAGACTTGCCAAAACAACCTGTGAAAGCTGATTATGGGCAGATTTTGTTTCTTTCCTTGTTCTTGCTGCTTTTCACTGCCTCTTCTGTAATTGACATAGTGTAACAACAAGAAATCTTCTCAAGATCCCTTTTCTGCTTATTTTTTTCAAAGCAGAAAAAAAGCTTGTCCCTGGAAAAATCAGAACCAGTTTAGAAAGCCACAGATTAGCTACAAAATTCACCCCATCAAGTGCCTATTGTTCTTACCAACAGACAATGGATGGGTTTCTGTACTTTTTGTGCTCTTTCTAGTCAGCTGCAAGAAAACAGCCCTGCCATGAAGATTGGGCCTCTGGGCTGCAAGCTTCAAAAGCATCTAAGAGACTTAGGCACTTCATTTTCTTTCAGATTCCAGGGGAGTTCAATGCAGTGGCATGTTCTTGTGAGGGCAGCTATTGGGCACAGTGGTCCTTTGCCCCTTGTGTTTCGAGAAGCTGTCCTGGATTCTTGGTTAAAATGCATTATCAGACATCCAGAGAACGTCTTGCTACTTAGATATGACTGTTCATACCCATAGTCAGAGCCAAAAATGAAAGCAAATAGGCAGGTCACTTTAAGAAAAGGAGTCCACAGTTGCTACATCACTGAAAGTCTATAACAGGGTGGTAGTCATTATAAACTTAACCAAACAACTTGGGTTAAAAGAGAACATGGATTTTGTCTGAGCAAGTCAATCCTCTACTAACCATTGGCCAAATACGTGCATATCACACTTTAAGGCTTACTTAAATGAAGGCTCTAGAGGATACCTTTGGGCAAAGCTAATGTCTAAGCGTAAATTAAAGCCAACAATGTATGAAGACATTTCAGAAAAGGGGAGATAGCTCTACTGATGTTTGCATTGCCTTGCCAACTCCTAGAAGCAATAGAGAGAGAATTATTTTATTTTTCCTGAGAAAAGGGGGTTCTTCTCTAGCTGTACAGGGGTCAATTCACTACCAGATGCTCACACACTGACAATTTGCAGTTTGTCTGAATTGACTTAGTCTGTTAAAGGATGTCTAAACCAAAGCTATATAAATATAGCTTGTACCATTTTAGTGCTCTCTGCCGTATTTTCAACAGGCCATCATCTTACAATTACAGGACAACTGAGGAAATGTATTGTGTATTCCTTAGTTACTTGGTACAGCCTGGCTAGGAGGTGGCCTCTAGCTTGCTTGTATCATCAATGAAAAGGTGGGAATTCAAAATATTTTGGAGTCCCTGATTTCAGTTTTTTTCTCCTTTTGAAACCACCTGGAGATGACCACCGGTAGTCCTGCTGATGACAGATTGAGAAGCCCATCTGAGAGTAAGAGTTCCTCTGCATTTCAAAGAACCTGAGTTTTACTTAATCAAAAACCAGCCCCAAAGACTGACAATATGATCTTGCTTTGACATATTCATATGTACAGTGCACCTGTAGAGGAAGCAATTTTCATTCAGATTTGCAAACCCAGAAGAAAGCACTCTGCATAGTTACTTGCTTAGCTAATCTAGGCAAAGGAAAAAATTGCCTGAAGGAACACGCCAGCAATTTGCTGAGCAAAGGCAGCTTGCATTCCAGATGAATTTCCAGCCAGTTTCTGGTTAAATCCCTGACAAATACTCCACAGGCTAAGTTCGATTTGTAAAATAAGCTGGCTAGGTTTTTGGCTATGACAGTTCATCACAAATCTAGTTCTTAAATGGATTCCCAGCTCCATGTCAGAGCCGAGAACATTCACTACGTAATTGGACTTTCCTCTTCCGAAATGTTTTTGTTTGACCAAAGCCCATCATTAAAGGTCACTTTCATGAGCCTGGGTAAAAAAATTTGAACGCTGTGTAACTCAGGGTTATACAATAGTTCTGTGGCTTGAAGCCTTAATGGTGATTTTCTATTTTTGGTGCAACATGAGAGATGTCAATCCAGCTAGTCTGTTCTCCCCTCCCCTAATGCCATCAGGAAGACATGAGACATACAGAAAGAGTAGAATTTTCAGGGAAAGCAATATACTGTGATGACATGGAGCTGGATACTTTGGTCCCCCAAGTCTGCTTAGCACTACGTGAATGAAAGGTGTCTAGATATTGCCTCTGTGCAAGAGGACTTCAGCAGTACAAAGCTGCAGAAGCAGCTCTGACCTCTTCTGCACTGGAATAATTCCTTTCTGCCATAAGAAGAAACATGCAGTGAGTCAGAAATGGGGAGAGAAAACATGGGAAAAGGAGGGTCATGTTTCAAACCAGGAAAAGGATCAGGAAGTAATACAGTTCTGTAGACTTGAACAGTTAACCCAGCTGTCTCAGTCATACTCCTATATAAGCAGCACAAGTTGAAATTGTTTCCTCCAGCATATAGCTGCACCACCTAGCTAAAAGCCAGAAAAGGCAACCTGAAAAGCTTTTGAATAAACAGTAGAATTACACCTCAAAAGTTGCTGTAACAAGGAGCAAATTCTTAATCACTGCTTGTCAGTAATTCCAGCCTGGCTTGCCCTTCCTTGGTTAATGTGGCTTGAGGATTCTGGGAAAGGAATTCAAAGAAGAAAAAGCACATCTTCCAAGTACTAACTACAAGTATTGCAGCATACCCCTATAAAACATGATATATTATATATTATACATACATTTGTACATTTATATAAATATATATACATATATATATAAACTATTTGTAAGTAAAAAATTATTTGTAAGCAAGAAAATTTCTTTTACTCACTCCTTGTGAACTTCGATATGACATCTCTTTGTCAAAGTGTTTTTCCTCTCTCATACAATCACACTGGTTTATTATTGCAGAATAGCATGTAAATGCTGAGCTGTGAACGTTGGTTTGCCATTGTCTGAATGGTCTCAAATTGCTGAGCTTTGTGCAGTAACTTCTTACTTTAAAGTTTCTCAGATAATCTGAATTGTTTGCACAGATCTGTTATTCTAGGGTTGCTTGCAAATGCTGAATTATAGAAGATGATTGTTATTGCATGACAGATCCTAAGTGATAGACTTTTTTTAATTTTAATTGCAAGGTACCAAGTATCGGTTTTACTGATAAAAGCCCCCATTTAACCAAACCCCAAAACCAAACTGATGCCTTAATCAAGTCTTTGTTTCATTCCCCACTTTCTCACAGCAAACATAAGAACTGTAAAACAAAGTTATGAAATTTCCATTTAAATTGCTATACAGTATAAAAGAGTGGGATTATCAATAGCAATTATGCATTTTAATTCTTTATGGAGTAATTTCTTAACCTGTCTGCAATTGACTACATAAAAATCTTAGAAGTGATAATATTTTTGTTCAGATGAGGAAAAGAGCTCTCAACTGTCTCTCAACTGCAGGTAAACTCTGCTCTCATTTGCACTGTGTACAAAAAGTAGCTCCACTTAATTAAATTACTGTGGTTCATGAGGAACCATAATTTGCTTCTCAATTAAAAGAGTTGAACATTATAGATCAGATGCAAAAGACTATCTTATTACTTCATGAAAAAGCTCTCATCTTAAAAAAGGGAAGATCCAGCACCCTTTATACACTGATGTGCATACCAACAAGCACAAATTTTGCTTCCTCATATTTAACACCCTGCAAATAAAATGAGGATTAGAGCAGGAATACAGTGATGAGAAGCTACGTGTTGGATCTTACGAACATAGCAGGTATTAAGAGAGGCAATTTTTACGGGAACTAAGTGCTCTGCCCTAAATTGCAATTTCAATGCAATTTGGACATTTAAATCCCCAAGATGCATTTCAAAATCTCACTTTTAAATAAGAAAAATCAGCCCAAGAATCATTTTCCTGAAGCGTAATTGCATTAAGCAGTAAAGC